AGGAAAAGAACAAATTGAAAATTGCCAATTAGATAACAAATTAGAAATTTTGAAAAACAGGAGAGATGAATAAAATTGAAATTAAGAAAACTATTGAACTAATAAATAAAACTAAGAGCTGGTTTTATGGGGGGGAAAAAACAATAAAATAGATAAACCTTTGATTAATTTGATTTTTTAAAAAAAGAAGAAAACCAAATTACCAGCACCAAAAATGAAAAGGGTGAATTCACCACCAAAGAAGAGGAAATCAAAATGATAATTAGGAGCTATTTTGCCCAACGGCATGCCAATAAATTTGACAGTCTTAGTGAGATGGATGAATATTTACAAAAATATAAATTGCCCAGATTAACAGAAGAGGAAATAAAATATTTAAACAACCCCATTTCAGAAAAAGAAATTGAACAAGCCATCAATGAACTCTCTAAGAAAAAATCTCCAGAGCCAGATGGATTTACAAGTGAATTCTATCAAACTTTTGAAGAACAACTAATTCCAATATGATATAAACTGTTTGGGAAAATAGGTGAAGAAGGAGTCCTACCAAATTCTTTTTATTATACAAATATGGTGCTGATACCTAAACTGGGCAGAGCCAAAACTGAGAAAGAAAATTATAGACCAATTTCCCTAATGAATATAGATGCAAAATTTTAAATAAAATATTGGCAAAGAGACTACAACAACTTATCTCAAGATTATACACTATGACAAGGTAGGATTTACACCAGGAATGCAGGGCTAGTTCAATATTAGGAAAGCTATCACCGTAATTGACCATATCAACAACAAAAGTAACAGAAATCATATGATTATCTTAATAGATGCAGAAAAAGCATTTGACAAAATACAACATCCATTCCTATTAAAACACTAGAGAGCATAGAAATAAATGGAGTCTTCCTTACAATGATAGACATCAAAAACCATCAGCAAGCATTTTATGCAATGGGGATAAGCTAGAAGCATTTCCAATAACATGAGCAGTGAAACAAGGATGTCCATTATCACTACTGTTATTCGATATTGTGCTAGAAATGTTAGCTGTAGCAATTAGAGAAGAAAAAGAAATTGAAGAAATTAGAATTGGCAAAGAAGAAACAAAGCTATCACTCTTTGCAGATATGATGGTGTATTTAGAGAATCCTAGAGAATTGAGTAAAAAATTACTTGAAATAATAAACAAATTTAGCAAAGTTGCAGGATATAAAATAAACCTACAGACTAAACTACTATTTGATAAATCCAAAGACCCCAGCTTCTGGGATAAGAAATCACTATTTAGCAAAAATTGCTGGGAAAACTGGAAAAATGTATGGCAGAAACATCTCACACCCTATACTAAAATAAAGTCAAAATAATGAACTTTGATTACCACTGTTCCATGCATGAAATGAACCATTGTACTTTAGAAAAGAAGAAATAGCTCCAATATGGTGTGGTTATAACAAACAAAAATAAAGCCAGAGGGCTTTATTTTAGCAGTGTAGAAATGTTTTAAAATGAGGACAGATCCTGTTTACTGTGCTTAAGAACAAATTAAAGTAGGAGGCAGTTAGGTGGCTCACCAGCCTTGGACTTAGGAGGACCTGAGTTCAAATGTGGCCTCAGAGACTAACTAGCTGTGTGACCATGGATGGGCAAATCGTTTAACCCCGATTGCCTATAAAAAAGAAAATGAACAAATTAAAGAAATACATTCTTATTTAGGGTATACTCTGTCAGCTGAAGTGATGTCAGCATTTTTTGAGAACAGGTGTAGCTCATGAGAGTTCTTCAAAGCTTCTGCACCCTTGGAAAAGGTTCTGAACCCTTGAAAAAAGGATCTTCAAAACAAATTCAGAGAATGCAATCCAGTACATTTCTATTGTGAATAATGTGTATGGGTGCCAGTTATCAGAAAAAAAAATGCTACCTCTGTCACTTTGGAATTAGGGAAAGGCAGTGCTTTTGGTAAGTGGATACCTCTAAATATATACATGGTAGTCATTCAGTCAACTAGTATTTATTAGGTGACTACTATGTGCCCATCACAATAATAGAAAACAATTGAGGTTTATAAGCACGCTTGTCAAAATAGGTTGTATGATCTGATTTTGAACTAAAACCAGGCATTAAGTGAAGAGATGTGCATGTCTCAAAAGATTCCAACCCAAATTCTTCTGCCCTTGATCTTATTAAAAAATGTCTCCATTACTCCCTGCTTTCACATGCTACCAAGACAAATCCTTTTAGCAATAAGCAAAACAAATCAGTAGCCAGGTTGAGTGGATGTGATATCTTAGACATTTGAATTTCAGCTGATTTCATCTTATCGAGTATTATGTAGGTATTGATTATGGGCCATAAAAAAAACATGCTTTCCTCATCTCCCTTAGTTTCCAAGATAATTTCAAAATTTTTTGAACTGTCTACTGAAATTTTTCCTAGGTTGTTTCTTTTTTCCTCCAGTCAAAAAGTGCTGGGGAGATGGAGCATTGTGGAGGTGGAATATTATCCGAACTATCCAAACATAGTGTCAGTCTTAGTTAAGGTATTAGATAGTTTTGCTGACCTGCTTTTTCCCCCCTTTCTTCTCTAAGGAGTACAATATGTTTCCTGCCTTCAAAGAATTTATAATCTAGTTGGAGACATTGCATTACTGCATTTTATAGGGCATGAAGAAGCAGGCATGTCCTAAGTTGGAGTCCTCAACTGGGGTTCATGGACCAATGGATAAATTCCAGGGTGTGTGTGAACTTGAAGAGAAAAAATATATACCTTTATTTTAATTAATATCTTTTGTAATGTTATATCTTAATTTTATGCATTTAAAAACATCTTTAGAAGGGATCCATAGTTTCATCAGATTTTCAAAGAGATCCATCACATACCACACACACACACACACACACACACACACACACACACACACACACACACACACGGTTGGGGATCATGAAGGCTACAGCCAAGAAATGCCCAGCAAAGACTAGTGGAAAAAGTGAAAGGACTGCCTCATTCTCTGATAGTGGAACAAAGGAATAAAGGATGGGTGAAAACAAAGAAGTTTTGGGGAATGGAGAAGGGTAAATGGAACTTACATTAGATAGCCCAAGTCTTCTCAGGAAACTGAAGCCAAGACCACTGAGGCTGAGCTCAGGTCCTCCTGACTCTAAGGCCAGAGCTCTATCCACTGCGCCACCTAGGAGTACTAAGCAAAGACCAGCAATTTTGTTACTGACAGGTATGCATTTTGTTGTTGAATTGTTTCAGTTGTGTCCTATCTTTGTAAATCCCGTTTGGATTTTTGTTTTTTGTTTTTCAAAGATACTGGAATGATTTGCTGTTTCCTTCTGTAACCTATTTTACAGGTGAGGAAACTGAGACAAATAAGGTTAAATGACTTGCCCAGGGTCACACAGGAGGAAGTGTCTGAGGCTGGATTTGAATTCAGGAAGATGAGTTTTCCTAACTCCAGGCCAGGCACTCAGATGCAAATTGACAACCAGGCATCAGAAAGGAATTATAAGGAATTTTGGGGCCAGTGACTTAGAGGGATCGCAGTAGAAGGTAGTCAAAAGCACTGACAATCCTAGCCTAAGGGCTTCTGCTTTTGTTGCTCACTTAAGTTTATGTAGGGTTTATGTTATGATCTGGGGCAATGATGTGGACAAAAGAGAAATTAGCTTTATTTTTCAAGGGAGAGACTTACCAGCAAAACTCCAGCAGATGGTAGCAAAGAGTAGCAAATGGACACTGAATAACAGGCGGGCTGAGGGGTAGCAGATAACAACTTGGTGATTTCCACAGCTAGAGACTAACACTTAGCAGATATGATATAACAGGCAGCAGACAGTGGAGATGCAGTGATTCCCACGAGAAAAAAGCACACTAACATTGTAAGAGCACATCCAAGGTTCTACAGCATGAGGGGTTTGAGTTGCCCTGGCCTCACATGTCCTAACATCATCATCATCATCATCATCATCATCATCATCATCATCATCTCTCTCTCTCTCTTTCTCTGTCTGTCTGTCTGTCTCTCTCCCCCCCCTTTCCCCTCTCCATGCATAGTGTCTGGTCACATATGTTCTTTGGGTTTGAGCACCCCGCCACGGTTGATGTGGTAACTTGTGGAAAAGGAAGGTCTTTTCTGACCACTTTATTTGCTTTTCTGTTTGATTAAAAGTCTTTTTTCTCTGAAGTAATATGAGTTTTCTGTTTGGCTTAAGCATGTTAGTGGGGTCATGTGAGTCATGGTCTTGAATGAGAGCTAACCCACTAAGTGCCTCATACCTGGGGGAGTTTTCTGGGTATCATGTGTAAACTTCTCCCCTCCACCCCAATCTTACAGTGACTTGTACAAAATCACACAGATAGGAAGTGGTCGAGCTTATATTTAAACCCAGGTCTCCCACAAGAGGAAAAGCATAAAACTTTGAACGTTCATCTCCCATACTTCAGAAATCGAGAAATGAGGAGGTGTCGTAACTCAGGGCCTTCTCCGATTATTGAAGGTCTGTATCAGTTAATTCTGGCCTTGAACAAAGATATACCGCAGTGAGGGTAGTACCCAGGGAAATAGATGAGACCAAATGAGATTTAGGGATTCCCTTTATTTGGATTAGATTTACAAAACCACACTGTTAAGGGACATACAAAAGGTAAGCCACAGCAATGACTATGAAGGAAGGCAGTGAGGAGCTTGATGGTTCACTTTTGTAATAGGGTTTTTGATGGTGATTCTCCCTGTCACCTTTCCATTTCCAAGTAGTCCTAGCGCCCTCATCCTAAATTCGCCTCCGCCGCCTCCTTCGCACAACCCGTTTTTCTCGTCGCACTCCTTAACGGGACACTGCTGCGACATCCCTATTTTTAGCCTTGGCCCTGACACTTGCATTAAGGAAAGCATCCCCTGGAAGGCTGGAGGCGGGAAAAGGCGGGGGAGGTTGGGGGGGGGGTCAGCCCAGGTCACGTGAGAGGAAAAAGAGAAGAGAGTGCGATTGGGAGCCCAAACTCGCCTCTGCTCCGGGGCTGGCGGCCGCGGGGGCCAGACCTAGAGTAGGATGCCTCCCTCGGGCCCTTCAAATACCCGGGGACGCTCAGAAACGGTGCGCATGACGCAGATGCCACGACGGCCCCTTGGGCCCTCGGATCCGAGTGAGTGACAAGTGCTCCAGAGCCCAGTTGCGGGAGAGTGGCGTGCAGGAGAGTAGCCTCACACAGTTCGGCGGGTCCTGGGCGGAGAGGTGCCCCTCCGGGCTCCGAAGCTACTGCCCTGCGCAGAGGCTTGACAAGCGCCTCTGGCCCCTGGAGCTGCCGCAGGGGAAAGATGAAAATCTGGAGCTCTGAGCACGTGTTTGGGTAAAGAGGGAGCCCTGGTTTGTGGAGGGGGGTGGGGTGCGGAGAGTGGCCAAGCTGGGGCCCGGGGAAGTTGGATCTCAAGAGATTTGGGCACCCGTGCCCGCCCGCCGTGAGTATCTGCTTGTGCGCTCAGCCGGCGTTTGCCCAGGGCTTCAGTGCTCCCTTCTCCCGAAAAAAATTAAATGTTAGCGAGCTGTCTCATGTCCTATGAGGGCATGCGTTTCTCCCCGTTGCCCACCAGATTGAGGATCTTGCATGTGATGTGCCTATAGTCAGAGCAGCTGCTTGGCAGTTAATTTTGTCTTTTCGGGAGGGACAAGGCTTGGAGAAGAGGGGTTAGTGTTTTATTAATAGGCCAAAAAGCAAATCCAAGGAATGAGAGGCCTAGTTTCCTCTTTATTTCAATCCCATGATTGCAGCTCATTTGAAAATGATCTGGGGAAGGCTTGATTTAAGTAGGGCAGAATCCCAGATCTGACTTTCCTCAGAAAACGCTTGCCCTCATCTACAGTACCAAGGTCAAAGGATCTGTCAAGTAGTTCAAACCCCCCATCCGATTTTTGGGAAATGAATCAGATGAACCCCCTTAACAGACGCCATAAATAAGCAAGGAAACCAGTATTCGTGATGCTAGATCAGTGATTCTCTATTACAATTTAGTATTTCAGGTGATTTGGAAGAAAGAACAGTAATAATAATAATAATATTTATATAGTACCTGCTATGTGCCGGACATTTTGTTAAGACCTTTACAAATATTATCTCGATTTGATCCTCAAGGAGTAGAGAAATGGAGCAGGGAGTAGGAATAAAGATAGGTGGGAGAAGGAATGGTAAACTAGAAGAATGAAAGGAGGAAAAGAGAAAAGAAAATGTATCAGAAGATATGATAATTTGCCTTCGGAAATCAAATCTCACCAATCATGAAACCTGAAGACTGTGTTATGGTATTTCCTTAAAAGAGTAAGAATGTTTGAATTGTCTGTTAAAGTTATGAGAAGCAATTCCATTTGTGATAGAAAGTGTATGAACTGGACTTCAGTAATAACATTGTTCTAAAAAAAGCTTGTGTTAAAAAATAAAACCAATGATTCTCTTTATAGCTTTTCTGCTTTGCAGACTATTATAGTTACACTTAAGTCATTTAAAAATCTAGGAAGTAATTCAATTTATGAAATATTTTCTAATCTATCACCTCTTTGCTGAGAAAATTGAGACCATGTACAGTGAGCTCCTTTTTCTTCACCTCTTTTTATCTCTAAACCCCTTGAGTTCATCCTACATCCTCTCTTCCTTTCTTATAGTCTCTGATAATGAAGTGATTCTTGCCAGGGCCACCCCTCCATGTACCCTTGATATACTTTCCTTCTGTCTTCTCAAGCATATTTCCCCTTCAGCTGTTCCTTGTTCCCTCATATTCAGTCTCTCCCTGTCTAGAGTCCCCTATGACTATGACTTCCCCATCCTTTAAAAAAAAAAACCTTCACCAGACCATATCACTCACCTACACTGTTATCCTATATCCCTCCTCTCTTTATCAGGCAAATCCTATAAAGACCTACACTTCTGCTCTCAGTAGACCATTTGAACCCTGGCTTCTGACCTCATAATTCACCTAAAATTGGACTTCTTCTAAAATTACCAGTGTTCTCTTAATTATCAAATCTGAAGCTCCTTTCTTAGTCTGGATCCTTTTTTTTCTTTTACCTTATTGCTTCATGAAACTGTTGACCACCCTATTCTACTCTCTTCTGGTTCTCCTCCTACCTACCTGATCGCTGTTAAATGTTCAGTTTCCTTTGCTGGATTATTATCTGTACCATGCCCCTTATCTGTGGGTATTCCCCAAGGTTCTCTGTCTTGGACCCCTTTCTACTTCTATGCTCTTGGTGATCTCATCAGCTCCCATAAGTTCAACTGTTATTTCTATGCACATGATTTCCAGATCTGCATATCTACCCCTACTCTCTACCTGGACCTAAAATCTCCCATCACCAACTGTCTGTTGGACATTTTGAACTGAATGTCCCATAAGATATCTCAAACTCAATATGACTTAAACAGAACTCATTATGTCCCCTCCACCCACCCCAAACACACAATCATACATATCATTCTTGTAGTCAGATTTGCAACCTATGTGTTATCCTGGGCCCTTCACTCTCCTTCACTTCATGTATACAATTGGTTGCCAAATCTTATTTCTACCCCCTTACCTTTCCAGTATTCTTACATATTCTTATGTCCTAGACCAATCCCTACATACCCTGTGATCCAGTGACACTGGTCTCCTTACTGTTCCTTGAACAAGACACTCCATCTCCCAGCTTTAGGCATTTTCACTGGCTGTTTTTCTCTTTTCCTCATGCCTGGAATGTTCTCGCTCATGTCTGCTTCCTAGATTTCGCCAAATTCCTTCAATTCCAAGCTAAAATCCTATAGTCTATAGGAAGCCTCTCCCAATCCTCTAAATTCTGAAGCCTTCCTTTTAAATTATGTTCTGTATGTATCTTGTTAGTACCTAGTTATTTGCATGTTGTCTCCCCTGTTAGATTGTGAGGTCCTTGAGAGCAGAGGTTTTTTTCTTTGCCTTTCTTTGGATCTTTAACAAGGTGCTAACACAGTAGACATAGTAGACCCTTAAATGTTTATTGATTGACTGATTTAGGTTTCTTTCTACCCCAATCCATCCTCCATACATATTTTATATGTTTAAAAAAGCATACACATATATGTGTATATATGGAGAATCTACATTATTCATGGATACACGTATATGTATGTATATACACATACACCCACATGTGTATTGCTTCCACCATTAGAATGAAAGTTCCTTGAAGGCACGGATTGTTTTGTTTTTTCTTTATCATCTTCGTATTTCTTGTTATATAATCACAGTAAGTGCTGAATAAATGCTTAGTGATTGCTTGACCAGTGACTTCATCAGGTCCCTATATTTAATTATTATCACTATGCAGAGGACACATAGATCTGTATCACCAGCTCCAGTCTCTTTCTTGAGTTCCAGTCTTACATGACCAACAACCTGTTGGACATCTTACACTGGATATATCCTACAGGCATCTCAAATTCAACATGACTAAAACAGGACTGGCTATTTTTCCTCCTCAAATCTACCCTTCTGCCAAATTTTCCTCTTGTTATCAAACATCCCATCATTCTTCCAGTCTCCTGTGTTAGTTATCTTGGCATTATTCCAGATTCTTCACTCTCCCTCACCCCGTATATGCATCTGTTTGCCAAATCTTGTCAGTTACTTCCACCACATCTCTCACCTCCAACACCTTTTCTGTACTCACAAAGGCACCTGCAGTTCAAGCCCTCATCACCTCTTGTGTAGATTACGCTAGTGACTTCTCAGCTTCTAATCTCTCCCCACTCTTATCCTTCTTCACACAGCTGTCAAAATGATTTTCCTTAAGCAAAGATCTGACCAGTTCCCTCCTCTACTCAGTAATCTCCAGTGGCTCCCTGTTGCCTCTAGGATAAAATATAAACCCCTTTTGGGGCATTTTAAGCCCTTCACAATCTGTCTTTCCAGATTCATTACATGTTGTTTACGTTCCTAAGCTCTGTAGTCCAGCCAAACTGACCTTCTGTCTGTTCCTCTCACATGGCATTCCAACCCATCTCCATCCATTATGTCTTTGCATAGATTCTTCCTCATGCTCGGAATGCTCACCTCCATCTCAAAGAATCCCTCACTTCCTTCAAGAGACAGCTTAAGCACCATCCTCTTATGAAGCCTTTCTTGATCCCTGCAACTGCCAGTACCCTCTTTCCTAACTACCTTATAATTAATTACCTTGTATTTCATATCCCCAGCACTAAGCACAGTGCCCAACACATACTAGGTGTTTAATAAATGCTTATTGACTAACTGGCTTGTATTTATTTTGTGTTTCTTCTGTATACATAGATAAAAAAAATGCATGTATATGCATGTATAATATGTACATATACACACACACACACACACACACATCACTTTCTATCTCTACCTATAGAATGTAAGCTATTCAAGATTAAGAATTTTCTCTTTTTTTTTGGTCTTTATATCCTTTGTTGCTAGGACAGTTCCTGACATAAAACCAGCAATCATTGAGTGATTGATTGAGTTTAATTTTAGTTTAGTATGGATTTTGCTACACATCATGGAAATACCTTAAATATTTGTCACAAGTATAAGTGATTTGTCAGTTACAAACAAAATTACTATTGATGATTTCAAAACTTGTTTCAGCTGACTGTCTTGTCATTGAGTTCTGGCTTTAGAACAAAAGCTAAATGGAGTTTGACAGATAGGTACTCAGCTGCTTATTAAAAACTGTCATTTATGTTCTGTTCCCTAAGACTGTTTTATGAATGACATAATGCTGTCCAGCATTATTTTCTGTATGACACTAAAAACCAGAAGTACAACTTTCTGGTTGTGTTCATGGGAGATATTTTGGTCTACTAACAGTCCTTCGTTTTCTCTCTCTAAGATTATAGATATTTCTTTGTTCTTGTTTATTCTGGATTGTTTTCTCTTCAAGTTTTTGTTGGATTATTATAAAGACATTTGACTGATACTTGATAAGCTTACTCTGAAAGAAAAGAGAAAAAAAAAGATTAGATTTAAAGAAGTTGGATATGGTCAGGTGTCCCTGTTGCCATTCATATTCATGTGAAAAGCCCATGAGATCTGGAAATCATATCCAAGTATAATCTGAAAAGTAAGTCCTGATAAAAATCGAGAACATTTTAGAAAAGCTAACTGACAAGAGCAGTCATCTCACCATGTTTTGAGATGGTTAAGCATTTTTTGAGTGGCAGACTTTCCTTGCTAATTTCATCCTGTAAGGATTATAATTCAAATCATACCAATGAAGATTATAACCTGCATATGCTTTAGATAAATCCCAGGGATAAGGCATATAGAGGTTTGGTGATTTGAGAAGAGATACCAACCCCTAGTTCATATCAGAAGTAGG